CCTCCCCCCCAACCACTAGACCCCACTCCCCACGTCGGGGATAGAACCCAGGAGTCCTGGCCCCCAGGGCCCCTCGGTCTAACCACTAGACCCCACTCTCCAAGTCAGAGATAGAACCCAGGAGTCCTGGCTCCCAGCCACTGTAACCCCTGGGCCCCTTGCAGCAGGTGGGGGTACAGAAGGAAGGTTGCTGGAGAGCGACCCCCAGTGGCAGGGGTCGGGGCCGGGGCTGGGGGGGGTCACCGTGGTCACAGGTCAGGGGTGCTGTACACATGCTCCAGGGAGGCCGAGAGCCCCTGGCCCTGGCGGAAGGTGGAGCAGGAGAACGTGACTTGCGCGTACGTTGGATCCATGTCCTGGAAAGGTGGAGAGAAGATGGATCTGTCATGGCAGCCAGGGGGCGCTGTGGGGTGGTGGGAGGTAGGGTGGGGAGTGGGGCAGGGAGCTGGACAGGGTGGGAGGCTGAGCAGGGAGTGCTGTGGGGTTGGGGTAGGGACTGGCCAGGGAGCATCATTGGGTGGGGAGAGGGGTAAGGATTGGGGGGCTCGGCACGGGGCACCAAGGGGTGGGGAGCGGGGGGAGGGACTGGGCAGCGGGTGCCATGGGGTAGGGGTTGGGCCCTAGGCAGGGGTCGCTGTGTGGTGAGGAGCGATTTGGGTGTGGGGGGCTGGGCAGGGGGGTGCTGTGAGGTGGGGAGTAGGCTGGGGGTGGGGCACTGAGCAGGGGTGTGCCAAGGGGCAGGGAATGGGGGGCTGGGCAGGGTGTGCCATGGGGCAGGGAGCAGGGCTGAGGAGAGGGGTGCTGTGGGGTGGGGAGTGGGGATCTGGGCAAGGGATGCCATGGAGAAAGGAGCAGGGAGTGGGCGGCTGGGCAGAGGGGTGCTGGGGGGGGCCTTACCGGGAATTCAAACTCAGCCCCGGAGTCTGCGTCGTCTTCCTCCTTCTGGCCCTTAGGGGGTGCTGCCCTCCCAGCTGCTCGCCCCGGCCTGGGCCCCTCCGCAGGGAGCTTGGGGAGCAGCCCCCAGTCCTGGGACGCTGCCTGGGGCCAGCCCCCCTCGATTGTCTGCTGGAGACCTAACCACGGGGGAGGGGGGTCAGAGTGGGTTCCATCCTGCCCACCCCCCATATCAACCCCTCGCCTCCGTCTCTGCCCCATGGCTCGGCCCCTTGGCCCTGTCTCTCCCCTCCTCCCCATATCAGTCCCTTGGCCCAGCCAGCTTGCACTCCCCCTTTACCCTGGGGTCTCCCCATGGATGTGACACCTTGTTCCCCCCTCAGGGTGCAGTTCTCACATTTTACCACTAGGTAGCAACATCGTAACCCACTAAAGCCAGGGTGTGGCAGTAAGAAATCCCTCTCTTAAAGGGGAGGCCAGCGGTGCTGGGATGGACACCTGAGGTCCTGGCACCAGACCCGGAGGTGGGAGGGCTGCCCCCAGTGGGGGCGGGGCAGTCGTTACTCACACATATTGACCCCAGAGATGTCAGTCGACCTGCGAAGGCAGAAGGGAGGGTCAGTGGTGGGGCGGGAGGCTGCTGGGGGCCCCTGTCCTCTATGGGGGCGGGGGACAGGTCAGCCCATACAACCCCCAATGCCTCACGCTGCTGCAAAGGATTCTGGGTCATCACTTTCTCTTTTCTCCTCCTTTCCTAGCCGATTGTCCTCTTTGTCCTCCTCCGTCTCCTTCATTCTCTCTCCTTCCTCCCTCCCCCTTTTCTTCCTCTCCTCCTTTTTCTCTCTCTTTATTCCCTTTCCTACATCGATTTCTCCTGTCTTCGCCCCATTCCCTTCGCTCGTTCCCTTCGGTCACACTCCAGTTCCCTCCTTCGTTCTCTTTTCCTTTCCCTCTCCCCTGGTTCCCCCCAACCTCCCTCATGTCCTGTGCACTATTTGACCCACTTCTGCCCTAGCCTGGTCTCCCTGCCCCCCATCTTCCCCTGAGATCCACCCCGGTCTCCCCCACCCTCCAAATAATCCCTGCTCCCCCAGTGTTCCCCACTGAGATCAGCCCCTGGGCACATGTAGCCATCCAACACCCCACCTGGGCCCCAGCCGCCCTTATCATTCACAGTGTCCCAGCCACAGAAATCCCCCCTTTATTTTCTATGACCCATGTTCCCCCCATAGATTGACCCCCCCCGGCCACCTGGATCCACGGACTGGAGCCCCTGTCACTTGAGCTCAATGCCCAGCCCCCATCCAGGCTGTGCGACCCGCTATGTGCTGGTGTCACCCCTAGAGGGTGTGAGTGAGCCAGGCTGGAGGGGCGACCCTAGAGCCAGTCCCCTGGGGGGGTGGGGCCAGGGAGACCAGACCCTGCCCCCTTACATACCGTCTCGCTATCCGCGACTGGCGCAGCTCCTGGCTCTTCCAGTAGGTCCTGGAAGGGAATTGGGGGTGGGGGTGGAGTCAATATGGGGCTCGGCCTGGCGGGGAGGGGCGCAGGGGGGCACTGCTGGGATTAGCTGGGCCTAGGGGGTGGTGGCTGCAATTCCCAATGTGACTACCAGGGGGCTGTGAGGTGCAGGAGGAGAGAATGGGGGAAACCAGAGCATTTTGCCCTGTGGGGCGGGGGTGGGGCCCAGTCGGGAGCCAGGACTCCTGGGTTCTATCCGCAGAGTATCGAGGGACCTGTTGGAACAGATTTGCCCTCCCAGGGACAAATTGCTCCTGACCCCACAGAGGGGCCTGAGGACCCGGAGGAACTTACGTGGAGAGCCGGCGGCTAGCTGGGGAAGGAAGGGAAAAAGGTTGAATTAAAGTGAGATTCCACTCTCGTCCCCGTCTCTCCCCAGCTGTGGTGCCCCCTAAGGGGGAGCACTCTGCCATCCCGGACGCCTGGGTCCCATCCCCCCTCCCAGTTTCTCCGCCCCTGGGTCTGGGACCTGAACGGCTCCCCCAGGGGTGAGGTGACTGTGCTGCTTCTTGGATGCCTGGGTCCATCCCCCGTCCTGCCCCCCACCTGAAGTTGGCTGGGTCTCAGCCCCATATTTGTATTCCCTCCCCCCGAAAGCCAAATCACTCACAATCCTTTGTATCAGGAGTCTGCTGTGCCAAGTTACTCACAGTCCTTTGCAACTGGCTCTTGCTATCCCATGTCACCCCTTGTGGGGGCTGAGAGCGCTGAAGATGCCCCCTAGGTGTGAACACTCCTGTCCCTCATGCCTGGGTCCCATCCCCCACAGGCACTGAGAGCTGCGGTGCCCCCTAGGGGTGAATGCCCTGTGCTGTCGTCCCGGACGCCTGGGTCCCATTCCCCATCCTACGCCTCACGCACCTGCCGTCTTCTTCCTGCAGAGGCAGATGAGCAGCAGCAGCAGCGCCAGAGCCGTGGCAGCCCCACCGCACCCAGCCACCAGGGGGACGGGCAGAGACCAGGCTGGTAAAAGGAGGGGATGAGTTAACAGCCAGGAACAAGGGGGGGCAGCGTCTGGGGACCCACTAAGTGCTCCAGACCCCATCCAGGGCAGGGCACAATCTGGGCCCTCCCCTTTAAGGAGGGATTTTTTGCCTGCCAGATGGTCTTGGCACTGCCTGTGGTGAAATGCTGCCACCTGGTGTTAGGCTCAGGTACTGCACCCCTGGGGCCACGTGTGACCTCTAACACGTTGTGTCTTGGCTCCAGGGTCTCCCCCGGGGTAGCAGGTGTTGGGGTGCTGGGGTTATTGCGGGGTGCAATTACAGGCCTCACCTGTCACAGTGATATTCACAGCCTGGCTCCTGGGGGATGGGATCCACCTGCCGCTCATGTTCACCTCATACCCGCAGCTGAATTCCCCGGTGTTATTGGGACCGGCCCATGGGACGGTGAGCACAGAGAAGTTCATAGAGTCGGTCCTGGGCTCTGTGGTGCTGATCTGAGGCCCTATGTCCCCAGAGATTATCTCAGCTCCATCTTTGTAGAAGTGAAACCTCCTCTTGCTGGTGTCCCCGGGGGCCATGCAGGTGATGAGCAGGGGGAGCCCTTCGCTCACCACTCCAGATGGGGGATCCACACTCAGCGCTGGCTGTGGAGGGGGATCTGAGGGGAGCAGGACAGGGGAGAGGTCAACAGAGAAACCACAGTACTGAGTTTGGGGAAGGGGCGGCTATACTGTATAATGGGCACTAGGGGGCAGCAGAGGGTGGGGGAGGGGAAGGGGCGGCTATACTGTATAATGGGCACTAGGGGCAGCAGAGGGTGGGGGAGGGGAAGGGGCGGCTGTACTGTATAATGGGCAGTAAGGCAGCAGTGGGCGGGGGAGGGCTGTCTACAATGTAGAACGGGGGCTGTGGGTGTCCGTACCAGTCACGCTCAGTGGCACTGGCTCACTGGGGGGTGAGTGGAGGTGGCGTCTGTGGAGCTCTGAGCTGTACCGGCACTGGTAGGTCCCACTGTCGCTGGGGGTGATATTCAGGGGGAACTGGGGCCCCAGTTGCTCTCGAAGTGTCTCCCCGTCTCTCAGCACCAAGTGGGCCCGCAGGATGTAGGGCCCAGCGGGGACAACGCACTCGGCTGTCACCGTCTCGCCCGTCACATAGAGCGGGAGGGGCGGGATGAGCTGCAGGAACGGGGCGGCCGGTGCTGGGAACACGGAGATGGAGATGGGGTCGCTGGCATAGGAGGGCACTTCCCTCCCCTGGATCAGGTCCACGTAGGTGCAGGCGAAGGACCGGGTGGCGTTTCTGGTGCCATTGACTTGAAGATCCTTCTGCCAAGATGAAGCGTTTCCCAACAGGGATCCTAGTGGCTTCCCATTCTCGTAGAGCCCGTACTTCACCGGGGAGGCACCAGCGGGAGCCGAGCAGTTAATTTCCACCCTGTCGCCAGCCATGTAGGCAGAATAGTCCGGAGACAGGGACACCGAGGGCTTCCCGGGGGGATCTGGGGAGAGAAACGTGTCTCAATCTTGGCCTCCTGCCCCAGAGGGTCTCCAAGCAGCCCAGGGGGAGCTGAGGACAGCGGGTCTTTGCCCCCATAGCTCCTGCAGGAGGCTGGCCCAGGGCATCCCACCCCCAATGGTCAAAAACCTTCTCCCTATGGCCAGCCCCCATGGAGCCCAGCCCGGCTCATCTCATCTCATCCCCTTTGTTCTCTTGCCTCCTTTGGCCGCCATCGCTCAACCCCTCCCCTCCTCCTGGCTCGGTGGAGCTCAGCTGGGGGATGGGTCACCCCAGCCTTTCTGGGGTTCAGCACGCAGGGGGATGGGGTGTAGGGGAACCAGGGGACAGGGTGCAGGGATGCAGGGGATGCAGGGGCGACATGATTTGGGGTGTGGGGGATGGGGTGCAGAGGTATGGGGTGTAGGTGGATGGGGTGTAATGACACGGAGACAGGCCGGCTCTCCCCGGATGGCACCTCTCACCCGGCGCGCAGTGTCCAGTACACACAGACGTACAGCCCGGCCGTCCTCGTCTCAGCCCTGAGCTCCAGCCAGCCGCCCCCAGTCGGGTCAGGGACCCTGTCAGCGATCAGCTCCCCTGGCTGTCTGTAGAATCTGTACTCGGCCACCCCCTCACCCCAGGGAGCCGAGCACCTGAGGGTCACCTGCTCCCCTGGGATGTACACGGGGTGTGGGGGAGCCAGAGTGAGCCGGGGGGCAGGGGGCAGCTCTGGGGTAGATGGAGAGACTGGGGCGGGGGAGAGGGAAAGAGACAGCTCAGATGAGACCCCCCAGCTCATTCACCAGTGAGCCCGGAGACGGGTCCTGCCCCCCAGTAAGCCGGTGCCCCCAACCCCCCCCCATTTGCCCCCTGCAGCCCAGATCCCCGGGGGGGCCAGCGCCAGAGCTGGTGTCACGGGGCAGCACCTGGTTAGATCACCAGTGAGAGATGCCCCCCCGGGTGGCCCTGATCCCCCCCAGCCATGCCGGGCTATTCACAGAGCTGGGTGTATCCCTATGACCGGCACCACCCACCGTGGGTCAGGCTGTGGGAGCCGATGGATTCAAACCCCAGGGTCGAGCCCCATGGCCCGGGCCCCACCCGTGGGCACCACGTTGCATCAGCACCTCCTGCTGTGTGGCTCCGGGTCCATCCCGGTGTAGCGGGGTCAGAGGGGGATGGTGTAGGGTTCCCCTGGTGCTCTCGGGGGGCTGTGACCTCATGGCTGAGGCAGCCTGAGGGGTGGGAGGGAGAGAGATCAGAGCTGGCCTGGGGATGGGGCTATGGCAACGGGGGGCAGGCTAGGAAGGGGCGGGCGGGCAGGTGGACAGTACTGGGGGATGTTGTTACGTCAGAGTCGGGGCGGGCTGGGTGGGGTGAAGGTTGGCTGACCGGGGGGTGCAGAGGAGCACGGGGGTGGCTGGTGTGGGCAGGGCGGGTATCTGGCAGAGATACCCAGGTACCGATCCCAGATCGCACCAGCCCCTCTCCCCACCGGATCTGCTGCTGTCTATCTGCCTCCCTCCAAAGGGGCCCAGCCGGACTGTCTCCCCCCTCCGCCTCCCTCTGGATCAGCCCCGTCAGCGGCTTTTCTCCCCCCGACCCAGTGCCACCCTCTGGAGGGACGTGCACTCACCCAGCACCAGGATGCGGACGGGGTGGCTTGGCCTGGATGGGATCTCCTGCCCCGATTCCAGGAACCAGTACCCACAGCTGTATGGCCCAGAGTGCGATGGGGTCAGGGGGGGCAGCTGGAGGGCGCGGCTGAGGTTGAGTGGGTCAGGACCGGATGCCTGGGAATCTAGGTTCTGACCCTCGAGAAACTGGATCCTCGACAGCGTGTGGCCCCCAGGAGCCAAGCATGTCAGGGTGACGAAGTTGCCGGGGATGTAGCTGGGATGGGACGGGGACACAGAGAGCTGGGGGGCAGCTGGGGGGACTGGGCGACGTGGGACAACATGAGACACAGGGAAGCCCAACCAGCTGGGGCAGCCGGGACACACACACAGGGCAGGGCTCTAACCCTCCAGCAGGGGGCGCAGGGACACACACACACACACACACACACACACACACACACACACACACACACACACAGACACACACAGCAAGAGTAGGTTGTTAGCTCTCTCCCTCTCTCAGACACACACACGCACACAGAGCAGGACTCATCTCCTCCAGCAGGTGGTGTAGGGACACACCCACACCCACACCCACAGCAGGAGTAGGTTGTTATCTCTCTCTAACAATCCCCCCCCCACACACCACACACACCAGCAGTAGTATGTTGTGGTCTCTCTCTCTGTCTGTCCCTCACACACACAGCAAGGCTCATCCCCTCCAGCATGGGACGCAGGGACACACACACACCGCAGTAGTAGGTTGTTATAGAATCATAGAATCATAGAATATCAGGGTTGGAAGGGACCTCAGGAGGTCATCTAGTCCCACCCCCTGCTCAAAGCAGGACCAATCCCCAACTAAATCATCCCAGCCAGGGCTTCGTCAAGCCTGACCTTAAAAACCTCTAAGGAAGGAGATTCCACCACCTCCCTAGGTAACCCATTCCAGTGCTTCACCACCCTCCTAGTGAAAAAGTTTTTCCTAATATCCAACCTAAACCTCCCCCACTGCAACTCTCTGTGTCTCTTTGACACACACACAAAGCAGGGCTCATCCCCTCCAGCAGGGGGCAACAGGGACACCCACACACCCCTCAGCCCCTCCAGCAGGGACACTCCCCTACCCCCCCGCTGTTCATTGTGATGGTCGTGGGGTGGGGAAGGGGCTATACTGTATAATAGGCACTAGGGGCAGCAGAGGGTGGGGGTGGGGAAGGGGCTATAGTGTATAATGGGCACTAGGGGGCAGCAGAGGGTGGGGGAGGGGAAGGGGCGGTAGTGTATAA